TTTCTAATGGTGAGGGTACCTTTTCTAATTTTCTAAGACTAGTCAATAGGAAAGTCCTATGGCTAGACCTAGGCTATTAAAGAAGTTTCTAGACCTCAACCAAAAGTGAGATCAACAGTATATATATGTATATATATATATATATAGATATATGTATGTATGTATGTATATGTATATACATATATATAGATATATGTATGTATGTATGTGTGTGTGTATGTGTGTATAAGAAATGTTGGGCAGAGATGACGAGTGCTATCTCATGTCCTCCATTAGAGAATATACTATATGCATGGTTTGAATGTTTGTTGGTCCGGACGTTGTGCCCTTTTTTAATTATTAATAAAAGCTTGCTCATAAATAAACCGAAAAAAGGATATTAAAAATTATCAACGCGCATCACGAGCCTTTCCCCATTCAATATCACGCATAGTTATACAGCCTTGTTGGACACCAATATTCTTCTCATAAGATTTCTCGTGCACCTATAAGATCCTAAATTTGTCAGAATAAGTTGTTGATTGTGAACTGACTTTGAACTTCTTAAATTCTATGCACGCTAACTTTGGAGCCACGCTCGAAACCTCAAGTTGTCAAAAGCTCTATAATTTCCTCGCAATTTTAATTGATCAATATGACATCCACCAATTAAGCTTAATGCAATGGACCCGTAACATTATCCACTTATCAATATCATTTGCTAAAAAAAATAGAGTTATTCATTCGTCCAGAGTACTAGCCTAGAAATTAGGGGTTCCTGCCAAGAAGATTGCGCCCAGAGTACTAGCCTAGCATTTCGGAACCCATCCAAAGTCCTCACAATATTTTTTTTTCTTTATATATCATGTAGCAAACTCAATTGAAACCACTTTTGGCCTTCATCATAAAAAAACAGTTAATTTTTATAATATTAGATTTTCTAAATTAATTCTCTCAGTGTCACTCTCTGTTTTGGATATTTCTCATCAGGGAGGATTTGGTAGCATCTATTAATAAGATTTATTGTCAGTTTTACAAAATCCAGCCAAACATACAAAATGCACAAGTTTTGTCAAACTATAAAATTTCAAATTTAATTAAGGTCTGGATTTTGTCTTTTATTCAGTTTAAATTTGGATTTAATAAATCCAATCAAGAATGGATACAATGAATTTACTAAATCTTATAAAAGTCAAATCCCGCTTGCAGCTAAATACTACTTTAGAGTTTGTTTGAGATAATTTTCTAACTGGTCTGTGTTTCAGACCGCTATCACAATTCTATTTGATAAACTACATTTTTGTTATTTTATATAAATTTATGTGATTGATTTTCTTCAACCTGGTCTAAAAAGTTGATATACAATTTTTTTCAAAAAAAACTGTATATTTATAATTTTTCATGCAACTTTCTAGAACTTATTTTCTCAATCAAAATTTTACAATTACTTTTATAAAAAAATTAAGAAGGAATTTGACTTTCTCTCTCTCTCTCTCTCTCTCTCTCTCTCTCTCTCTCTCTCTCTCCCACACACACATTTCCTACAACTTTAATCAGGCTCGAGCGACATCTATGATAAAATCGTGATATCTTTTTCTTAAGAAATATTGAATCCTACTGATATTACAAGCACTATCACCAGTGCTAAAAAACAAACAGAAAGATGAGGTTTCAATTCGGAGGATCGCCCATAAGATTTGTATGGACAATAATAACATATCGTATCCAAAAAACGGTAGGCGGCCTTTATACTCCAAATAATAAAATTTGATGTGACGATTCTCATTCCATTGGGAGCACTCAGCCGAAACAAATGGTTTAATATGACGTGGACTTGATGCCCCAATAATTGTAGAGAAGATGCTCTCCTGCCTTTAATTATTCACATGATAGTGACTGGCATTGGTTGCTGCATTTGGGAAGGCCTAAGGCGTCGACACCATACGCTGCAGCCGCCTGCCTCACTGTTTAAGGAGTCCCTAGTGCAAGTAGATGTTGGTTTTACTAGCTTTATTTCTTAAGTAGGTTTAGGCTCTAGTTTGGCTCAATAAAATAAACACAAACTTCAACTTATTTTAGTTCGAATTTATCTGGGGCAACTGCAACTTATTAAAAAACTATTGCGCAGTAGCTATTGTGGAGAAGCTGATTGTCTATTTATTTTTTGCAGTTTTGAAATGATTGTGTTGTTGTTGTGTCTGAATAAATGACATTTCTGCCCTTGTATTATAACGTTGTTTATAACAGAACTAACATTACTATTACATTCCATACTTGAAAGTAAATATTCATTTTGAATGTTACAAAATTAAAAAAAACAGATACATCACAAAACAGTGAGTAACACGACAATCAAAATTACAAAAAAGAACTATTAAAATAATAATTAATAAAATAATATTATTTTCAAAATGTACTTGGTTAACACCACGAGATAATCTGTACTCCATCGAAACTCTCCACGTTTGATCGCTATCGGCGATAAAATCCTCAAACTGATCTGTCCACCTAAAAAAGTCATAATTCTTTATTCCTTTCCTTGGATATATGAAAAACTGTCTATTATAGTTATGTGGCCGTCACAAAATATGCAGTGAATATTGTAGTTCACGGTAACAATACAATGATATGGAAATACCAGAAATCCTCGAGGTCATTTTCTCTGAAGGTTTAAAACCATAAAGCACAAATTCTTAACGTTAGTAATAAAGAATATTAAAAGTATTCAATTCAAGTTTTATAAAACTGAGTATATACTACAAGAAGACAATTTATTAAGAAAAAAGTTCTTCATTGCCTTTAAACCACACAAAACCCAGCTCACACTTTATTCACATATTCATATCAATATATATATAT